TTTATGCTCTTTGATGACAAATGTTAATAATAATATATTAGGTCAAATCTGTTCATCTCTCAATAACTGAATTTTTTGTTTAATGCAAAAACTCTTGACAGGTCATTTAGTAAGAACAGTCTCCTACCTTATGTGAGAAAGGACTTTGATAGTCAATTTTAGATCCAACTTAAGATGACAGAACTCATAACCCACCTCTACCCCGGCTGCAGCCAGGAGCCACCGGATGGACTCCATTCTGCCTCGTCCATCGAAGTAGTGAAGCTTGGGCTTCCCCGCCATGATGCTGTCTCCTGGTTTCTCTAAACCTGAATGAATGCATGAATGCACAAATGAATGAACAAATAAAGAAAACCACAGAAGCAAAAATGTACTTTACCATACATGGTTGAACAGCACCAACAATGAGGAAGAAGGATCGGCCTCCTTCATGGCAGTGTCATCAGAAGAGTCCCTGGAATATCTTCCTCGGCTCAAATTCTCACCCTCAGGAGCCAAGCCCAAGAAATGGCACCAAACAATTCTCCAGTCTCCACTGGGTGAAGTCTGGTGGTCTTGACAGTCTAGTAGGTGAGAGTCCGTGATAAGGATGTGAGCATGGGAATTAGGGGGAGGGGAAGGATTAGAGAACTAATATTTATTGAAAACCTCCTCCTAACCATCCTGACTGAATGTTAAACCCTTGGATACATTATATCTTTAATCTTCATAACAGCCCCATGAAATAGTTGAGATTGTATCAATTTTTCAGTTGAGACCAAGGCTCAGAGGTTAGTTAAACAACACGTCCACGGTCAGGCTCCAGGGAGTGGTGGACATGGAAATCCACCCCCAGGATAGAGGGAGGGCAGGGCTGGACCCCACACAGATGCAGGCCCTGGGAGCCTGTGAGGGGCCTTGAAACCAGAGGCCTTCGCTGACAGCGAGGGGGAAGAGGGAGCAGAGTTAACGCTGCATTTGTTCAAAGGCTGAAATTTAGGGCTCAGACTGACTTAAATGAGGCTCAAAAGTTCCTAATTCTTCCCACAGACACAGGATGCTGATTCCTTCCTGATTTTGGAATTCTGCATTCCACTTCTACTTGGTGCATTTTACAATCTAGAAAGAGGGATGTTACTGCATCAACTTTACAGTATATCGAGTGGAACTAACATTTGTTCGATGTCTGTCATACGATGGGGGAGCTAACTAATTTACCTTCATTTAATCCTACAAAAATCACCTGAGGTGGGTCTGTTATCACTCTCCCTTACAGCTGGGGATACTGAGGTTTATACAGTAACTTGCCCAATGTAGGTGGTGGATCTGGGGTTCAACCCCACTTCTATTTGAAGCCAAAGTCTAGGACTCATTTTCTGTATTATTGTTTTTCAAAATATGCATGACAATCCCTCAGTGGATTGTGAAATCCACCAATTTTTAAAATGAAATAGAAGACAGTAGAAACTCTCTGAGTGCCCTCTATGGAGACGAGGTTAGGATCATCTCAGGAGTTTCAGCTTCGGTCATGTGTGTTGCACGTGTGGATGTGTGCACACTCATTTGGTCAACTCATGGTGAGAGAGACATTGGTTGTGTCCAATCAGCAAAATTTGAAAGCCCCTGTTCTACCCCAGGCTGCGTGGGTGGTCGACATAGAGGGAACCAGAGGATGAAACTCAACGGCTCCCACAGTGGACATGGTTAGTTCTCTCACGGGTGTGAATGGAAGCACACGGGACTCATTACAAGCGGGAGTCGCAAAGCCAGGACTGAGGGAGGAACAGTTGCATTTTCCATCCAAATCCCAGGCTCTGGGGCCGGCCCCGTGGCTTGGTGGTTAAGTGCGTGCGCTCCACTGCTGGCGGCCCGGGTTCGGATCCCGGGCTCGCACCGACACACCGCTTCTCCAACCACGATGAGGCCGCGTCCCACATACAGCAGCTAGAAGGATGTGCAGCTGTGACACACAACTATCTACTGGACCTTTGGGGGGAAAAAATAAATAAATAAAATCTTTAAAAAAAAAAAAAACAAATCCCAGGCTCTGTTTAGAAAACATTAAGATTCTACCTGCCAAATTTCATTGCCTTGGAGTTTGGGACGAAAATTTACTTCTCTTTACCCAGTGGATATAACTCTGAAAAAGTGTCTGTGATTTGAATTTCAGATATCAAAATGTTTTCTTTCTTTTTTCTAGTTTTTTCTTTTCTTTTTTTATTTTTATTATTGAGGTAGCACTGGTTTAGAACATTGTATAAATTTCAGGTGTACATCATTATACTTCTATTTCTGCGTAGATTAAAATGTGTTCAATATCCACATTTTTAATGGGGAACTCAATAGTCTAATGTTTAGAAAGTAAAAATCCTTTGGAAACATGCTTAATCAACCATCTGCTGTGTAGTTGGCGATATTGGAGTCTGTGTTTTCTCATCACGGGAGGTGGAGGTGCTGGGATTGAGCAGAATGGAGAGGAGACTAAAGCCGGCACTGAGGCGGGAAGTGTGTGCTGTGGACTAGAGTTCACAGAGCCAAGTGACTCACACCTCACACTCAGCTCCTTTCCCTTACACTGAGGATCCTGTTACAAAGGGAAAGGAACTCTTATGTTCGATAATACTTTATCATAGCTCTCTTCCTCATAAACAACTTTCCTCACCTCCCCACTAGGAGGTTTCCAAAGGCCTGGTCCAGACTGGGGCCAAAGTTATCCTAAACGTTTGCCTGGTCAGCAGAAAATGAGAACTAGAGAGATTCGATGAATTGCCAAAGGGCACACACGTGTGTTCCTGATTCACACTCAATATCCAGCAAGTGTGTCTGCCCTCGACCACAACCCCGGGAAATAGCTTCTCGTATCCTGTTCTAAAGAGGAGGAAACTGAAGGTCAAAGACGCGCAGCAGCTTTCCTAGGCTCACACGCTGTGTCCTCTGATTTCTGGGCCACGTCATTTCAGGTTTCACCCCACCATGGAACACTCAGGCGCTCTCTGTGCTTCTCCCTGAGACTCTCGTTTATTCTTCCCATTCAGAATCCATTAGCCAGCTAACGGTTGAAGGGGAGGAAGAGAAGGAAACAAGGAATTCCTAAGCCCCTTTCTGGTAGTTGATTTTTAGGGGCTTGAAAAGAAACATTGATAAAAGCATCTCATGCTTTACTTTGACATCCTAACAATTTACTGTGAGTAAATTGAGCACTAGTGTAACTACACTTTACCTTAATAGGGGAGTAGGCTTATATTCCTCAAAAGGTCTCTATCCATGATAATCCCAGGAGTAAACTAAAGGAGTGAGGTCTGGGGGTCCTAATCACAGCGGGCCTCAGCAGAGAGGAGACTTGGAGCCCAATCCCAGCTCCTTTCCTCATGAGGATCAAAACCATGCGCAGGTGGATGCATCTCTGCACTGCAATTTTCCCTTCTGAAAACAGAGTTATCTCCACTTTTGAGGGCTGTTGAGAAAGTCAAATGAGATAATGTGCATAAAATTCATCCTAGGGATCAGCAAATGCAAGCTCCCACCTGATCTCAGATCCTGGGAGACGAATGAGTTGAACACACTGGGTAGCACGTGCCTTCTTTCTTCTGTCTGTCTATCTGTCTTTCTCTCTGTCTATCTGTCTACCTATCTGTCTATCTATCTATCTATCTACGTATCTGTCTATCTATCTCTTGGCAGATAGAGTTCCAGCAGGAATAAGGTTAGACATAGTATGTGGGGCAGAACCTGTGGTGTACTGCTTAAGTTGACATGTTCCGCTTGGGCAGCCCAGGTTCACAGGTCAGATCCCAGGTGGGGCCTGACACCGTTCATCATCCATGTTGTGGGAGTGACCCATATATAAAGGGGAGGAAGATTGGTACAGGTGTTAGCTCAGGGTTAATCTTCCTCAGCAAAAAAAATAATAATAACAATAAAAAGATTAGACAAAGCATGTATATATGTGTATATCCAGAGTTTTTTCAAAAATCGTATAAAGGCTCATTTTATTTGGCTCCTGTGGAAAGATTAGTGACGTTCACTGATTACCTAACCTGGATTGTAGGATGTCTTTGGTGAGGAGCTGCCAGGCTGAGGAAGCTGAGGGCGCTGCTCCGCGGCCCAGGGCACTCCTGCCTCCCAGGCAGCACCCAGTTCCCAAGCTCCGTGCCTCTCTACCCCACGTGGCTGCCTTCCTCCCCTTCAAATGAGGACCCTGCCTCAGCCCTGACAAACCTTGCTCTTGGTAGCATCCTGCCTAGTGCTTTTCCTCATTGCCATTTCAATATCTTCTCCCACAGGTACTGTACTTTTTCCCGTGAATTCTATTATATTCAGACAGCTCCAGGATTGTCACATGATCTCCCTGAGCCTCTCCGTCTCTCCTGTATGAGACCTTTCCTTTTTTCTCCCAATGTTAGTACACGGAGCATGGTTGACTGTTACATTCTGATTGAATGACTTGCCCGTTCTAGCTTGGTGAGTTCCTGTGCTTTGTAAAATCTCCTTCTGTGCTCCTGTGATTCTCTAGTTTTCCCATTGAGACTTCCTGAGTTGGGGAGTTTGAGAAGTCATGTCACCCAGGGACTCTTAACAGGGGGTGATATTGCCCCTCCCACCCTGGAGGACACTTGGCAATCTCTGGAGACATTTTTGGCTGTCAAAACTGGGAGGGAGGGTGCTACATCCAGTGGGCAGCTAGCAGAGATGCCTCTGACATGGAGTGGGGCGATGCCTCATTGTGCATCTGACTCCTTCTTATCCACCCTCAGTCATTCTGCATTTCATCCACCCTCCATTTTTCATCCACCGTGCTGTGCTAACAGACACATTGATTGCATATTTATTTGGAAATACCTTATATTTGATTACAGTTGGCTATTTTATCTGTGTCATCTTCCTAAGATAATTTTTTTGAAAACTACATTTTTTAAACATGGAATAATTCTTCTCTATCCTTTTGCACCTCTCATTTGACCCTGCAGCTGCCACTAGCACTAGGATGAACTTGACCCCCACACTGTGTTCTTTCTACAAGTACAGAGTAAAATGAGAGAAAAACTGTGAGTTGAGTATTGATGAAATGATGATTTCCTGTAAACATATGAACAAACTATCACTGTAGATATTTTAAAGGTGGAAAGTTTGTAAATTTGAGGAAATATATATGTTAACTCTTGTAGGAGAGGAAGACTACCTTCTACCCATTCTGGGTCCTTGCTGGCTGGGCTACAAATTAAATTGACATGAGACTGAATAGCAGGAGAAAATCAAACAAAGCTTTATAACGTGTATACATGGAAGAGACCAGGGAAACTGAATAACTTGACAAAAGGGTGGAGGTTCTCCTCTTA